GGGGCTCCGGTGCCGAGTCCTCCTCTGCCTCCGGAGAGTCCTGGCAAAAGACAAGGGCAGGCGAGCGTGTGAAGCGCGTCGGGCCCATCGTGCTACCGGCGTGCCACCGGCACGCCACCGGCACGCCACCAGCCGCTCACCTTGTCCTTGAGGATATACAAGGCCACTGGATTCTTGCGCTCGTGCTCGGCACTCCGTGGGATGGTCTCAGCTGTTGGGGGCACGGTGTTGGTTATCAGGGTGTTGGTTATCACGGGGTTGTGTTGGTTACCCGGTGTTGGTTACCACCAGCACTCACCCTCATGCTTCAGGCGCTCCTCGTCCTGCTCTGTGTATTCGGAAGCTGGTTGTGTCTCCGCTTGTCGCTTCTCCCTAGGGAAGGGGAAGGAATGGGAAGCACTGGCACCATGGTGGAGGCAGTGGTGCCATGATGGAGAGATGGGATGAGACAAGTTGGGATTGGATGGGATGGGATGAGATGGGATGAGATAAGACCTGGCAAAATGAGATGGGATGGGATGAAACAGGACAGGACAAACAGGCCAGTGCAGGATGGGATGGAATGAGATGAGACTAAATAGGATGTAGCAAGATGGGACAAGGTAAGATGGGATGGAGTAGGTCAAGTCAGGGTGAGACAGGATGGGACGGGATGCAATGGGATGAGATGTGATGCGATATGATTCAATGGGTCAGGACAAGATAGGATGCGAAGAGATGAGACAGGATGGGATGGGGCAAGACAGAGCTCCCGTGTCCCCCCAGCCATACTTCTTGGAGGGCTTCCAGCAGGCGCAAACAGTCACCAGGGTGACGAGGAGGAAGATGCCACCCGTGGAGAGGATGATGTAGAGGGAGCTCCGGCCTGGGGAAAGGAATAGGGGGAGAAACCCCCCTGGATTTTAGCTGGGAGCATCTCCAAGAGATGTCCATCCCCGGGGGTGCAGGTGGCTTACGGTAGACAGTGATCTTCACAGGGACGCTGCGGCCGTGGCTGATGGGGTTCTCCACCAGGCAGCTGTAGACATCGTCATCGGCCATGAGGACACGGGTGATGGTGAGGATCTTCTGGTCAGGGGAGAGGAGCAGGCGGGAGTCGTTGCTCAGCGGCCGCCCATCCTTCAGCCAGGTGTAGGTGGGCTTGGTGCCGTTCTCGTGGGAGCAGTTGAGGGTGAAGAACTCACTGAGCTCCAGCACCGTTGAGGAGGCCACCAGCACTTGAGGCTTCGAGATGGGGACTGCAGGCAAGCAGGGGAACCATGGGGATGGGTCCAATCCCATCATGTCTCAGGGGATGCACAGGCCCAGGGGATGGGAAGGGGGACATCAAAATGCCACCAAGGATATAGCTTGTCTACACGGTGTGGTTGAACCCCAAAAGCCACCTGCCAGTTGGAGATAGGGTGGTTGAACCTCCTAGTCGGGGAAAGCCCTCCCCAAAAGTGATTGGGGTGTGGGTGAGCAGGGAAACTATGGTGACACCATGTCTCAGGGGACACATGGGCCCAGGGGATGGGAAGGAGGACATCAAAACACCACTGGGGATGTAGTTTGGCTACATGGTGTGGTTGAACCCGCCCCCCCTGGGAGCCCCCAGCCTCCACTGGACATCCTTCTTGCTCTTACTGTCCACGGTGAGGTTGATGGTCTTCTCGCCAGTGAAGGTGTCGTCGGTGATGGACACCTCCACCTCGTAAGCCCCTTCATCGGACAACTGCAAGGGGCTGATGAGGAGGGAGCCGTTCTCCAGCACCCGGATGCGATCCCGGTAGTCGGGCCGTAGGTTGCCGCCCCCAGCCTCCACTGGACATCCTTCTTGCTCTTACTGTCCACGGTGAGGTTGATGGTCTTCTCGCCAGTGAAGGTGTCGTCGGTGATGGACACCTCCACCTCGTAAGCCCCTTCATCGGACAACTGCAAGGGGCTGATGAGGAGGGAGCCGTTCTCCAGCACCCGGATGCGATCCCGGTAGTCGGGCCGTAGGTTGCCGATGATCTCGGTGCCGATGGACTGGACGACGGTGACGGGTTTGTCGC